TTCTATTGGTAGGTGGCACAGTGCACTTGTGGCAAGTAAGCAAACTAGAAGACTGGCAAAGTTATGGAAGAAACACATTAACAAGAGAATTCTGAGTAAAACCAAAGTTACTTTCCCTAGTAACTAGTTACTCTGAAAGTAACGAGTAACTTGAAGTAACTGAGTTACTTTTGAGAGAAGTAACTAGTAATGTAACTAAGTTACTATTTTAAAGTAACTTACCCAACACTGGTTGTTTCTTAACGCCCTCACTCACTGATAGAAATCTACACATGCTTATTTTTCTTCTTTGATAAACTCACATGATTGAGCGTTTAATTGCACTTTTCTCCAAAGGCCATTAAGACTTGGCATATATACATGTCTCCCTGCCTTCAGGATTCCCTGTTTTAGACTGGGTGCCTTTAGCAGGCAGACACTAGCAACAGGAAGTGTCATGTTGCTAGTGTCGTGCTGTTTTGTTCTCCAGCATGATTAGTATTGTGCTTAATCAATGAAAGGTTGGTAGTGACATCAGAACTTGCAATGTGGATATTGTGCTGCAAACACATTATTTGGTTTAGTTTGCATGGAGCACGGCTTAAAGCAATCCAAGTCCCGTGTGTCCTTGAATTAATGTCCAAAAGTTGATTCTGTTCATCTGGACGTAGCGTTTTTTGTGCGAGAAACGTTTCGTCACTCATCCAAATGACTTCTTCAGTCTCAGCTGACTGCAGGTTTCCCCAATCTTATAAACAGTACAGGCAACAAAGGAAGTTTGACTTACTTGTTGTACGTCAGAAACCACCGCAAAATACGGAGAGTGTCCTCAGTGACCAGAAGAGAGAAGGATGCGACACCGAGGATGTGGACAAGTGGGTGAAGAATTTGTCTGAAAGACACCTCACCCAAACAGAGAAAAACTTCCTTGCTAAAGGGTTGAATTTTGCTGTCACACCGAGACAAATCCCGCTAGTGGAGCTGATCACAGCCACAGAAACAGCAATTCGTAAGAACAATATTGCAGAAGTGGAAGCAGAGCAACTACGGATGAAAGTTTTGGCCTGTCTCAGCAATGCAAAGCCTCCAGCATCCAACATCACCATGGAGGAGAGGAAGGCACTCACATCACTTAGTGATGACAACAACATTATCATCCTTTCGGCAGACAAGGGTAGGTGCACAGTATTGCTAAACCAGAAAGACTGTCATGAGAAAATTTTGTCACTACTCAGTGATGAAAATACTTATGAGCCCCTGAAACGAGACCCAGGAAGTGGCTACAGGAAGAGGGTGATAGACTGTCTGAAGCAGTTAGAACAAGACAAGGCTATTGACCGGACCTCATACCACAGGCTGTACCCAGGGGAATCTACACCAAGTCTTTATGGTTTACCAAAAATACATAAACAGGGTGCACTTTTAAGACCGATTGTCTGCATGATCAACTTGGTCACGTATAACAGCTCCAAGTTTCTGTCTTCGATCCTCAACCCGCTGGTGGGCAGCTCTGAACACCACATCCAGAACACCCTGGATTTTGTTGAGAAGGTGAGAGATGTCATTATGGAGGCAGATGAAACCATGGTCTTGTACGACTTTACATCTCTCTTCACTTGCATCCCAATCACGAAAGCGTTGGAGGTAGTTCATAAGAGATTACAGGATGACACCAACCTCAGCAACAGGACCACTCTCAGCATCGACCAAGAAAAGAGGGCTTTGCTATCCTACCCTGGAACACCACCAAGCCATTGGTTCAGATATGTGGATGACACCTGGGTGAAAATCAAATCTCAGGACGTTTCACATTTCACGGATCACATTAACTCGGTTGACCGACACATCAAATTCACCAGGGAGGATATGAAAAGTGGCAGGTTAGCCTTCTTAGACTGTGAGATTTCCATCAGTAATGGGGGACATCTAAAAGCTGACGTGTACCGTAAACCTACGTATACGGATCAGTATTTAAGGTTTGACTCTCATCATCCACTGGAGTACAAACTGGGTGTCATCAGGACGCTACAACACAGAGCGAACACCAGCCCCACTGACACAGCAGCCAGGGAGGCAGAAGAACATCAGGAAGGCCCTGAGTAAATGTGGTTATCCCAGCTGGACTTTTTCAAAGCAGGAAAGGCTCCTAAAGAAAGCTGAGTTGAGACACATTTTTTCTAAACACCGGGTCTCTGTGGCTTTTAAACCCCAAAACACGCTGCGCCAGAAATTGGTCCACCCCAAGGATCGGGTCCCCCGACACAAACAGAGTAACATAGTGTACGCTGTTAAGTGCCAGGAGGATTGTCAGGATTTATACATCGGGGAAACCAAACAACCTCTGGCTAAGAGGATGGCACAACACAGAAGAGCTACCTCGTCAGGCCAGGACTCTGCAGTCTATTTACACCTACAGGCCAGTGGACACTCTTCCAAGGATGAGGATGTAACATCCTGGACAGGGAGGAACGCTGGTTTGAGTCAAGGAGGCCATTTACGTGAAAAGGGAAAGACCACCTCTGAATCGAGGAGGGGGCCTAAGGGTCCATCTGTCACCATCTTACAATGCTGTGATTGCAGCCGTTCCCCAACTCTCTGTGAATGGTACTCATGGCCATTGATCAGTGGGCTTTGATCAGTGGGCTTTGATCAGTGGGTTTTGGTCAGTGGTTACTGATCAGTGGTCATGAGAATTTGCATAATTAAGATTAAGGAACTGACCTCCCAGCCCATTGTTCCTTCAGTGGGCTGGTTTCAGTCATTATGCAAATGTACTGTTTATAAGATTGGAAACCTGCAGTCAGCTGAGACTGAAGAAGTCATTTGGATGAGTGACGAAACGTTTCTCATACAAAACGCTACGTCCAGATGAACAGAACCAACTTTTTGGAGATTTACTTTCCTGGATGATTGAGAATACATCAAGACTTTGAATTAATGGCTCATCCATCAAGCAGAGTGTATTACTGAAGTAGTGAGCCGACCATGAAATCAGATACTGAGCAAAAATCACTGGGCTTTTGTCCAAAAACTGTCCTCTCATTTTGACGTTTGCGTCACATGCCGAAGTCTTTGACTTTGTGGAGACTTTGTTGGAAGCTTTAGTCTGATTGATGTGCACAGTGGTTTGATGTTTTGTGAACTTTCAGATTGTCTTAGTTTATCTTGGAGTGGAGACGATACTTGAGAAAGATGCAGTGTTTAGTGGAGTATGTTTCCTCATAAATATTATGGACAGTCTGCAGTTTCCGCTGAGTTGACTTTTCTGTGAACTTTGTACACTTCTGGGGTTACTTTAGTACCTTTTCTTTTGCCAGGACAATTGTGCAAAAAGATGTACTGGCAGTAAGTACAGGCCCATGAGCAAAATAATGATTGATAATAAAGACGTGTAATGCCCTCCCAGAATCCCTTGGGCTCAGATGAGGAAGCAGTACTTCAGCTCTGGGGTCAACAAGAGATCGCTGGATACCATTGAGAGGGCGGCCTTCTTTGTAACCTTGGACGACGAGGAGCAAGGCATGAGGGGAGATGACCCAGAGGGGAACTTGGACTGCTATGCCAAGTCTCTGCTTCATGGGAAATGTTATGACAGGTGAGGAGGTCACCAAGGAACCTGTGTGGGGGGTGTTTATGAACCTGGTATATTTAAAACTGTGTGTAGTGACTTCTGTCTTAATTCAAGAGCCCAACTGCAGTGAGCATTGTATAAAAATGTGAAAGTAAAGTTAGATTTGTAGTAATAGGTGGTTCTTCTCAGAGACAAAAGATACATCACCACTTAAAGTAGATTACATGGCCAAGAGAATGTTCACCATCAGTATGTAATGCTCTGGGAATACCGTGCCATTTATTGGAAGACAGTTGGTGATATTTAAGAACTGATTGCATCCGTCCGTCCATGTAAGAATTATGTAATGTGATGCTGATATTTTCCACATAGGAAAAATGATCTTTTTCACCTGCATGTTAGGTTTTGGGTAATCAGGGTTCATCTTATTTTAAAAACCGGAAAGTACCATGTTACTCCAAACAAGTACTTCACTCAGGCAGGCTTACTTGCAGTAGGATGAGGTAGAGGAGGGGTGCCCAATTCCAGTCCTCAAGAGCTACTATCCTGCAGTTTTTAGATGCATCCCTACTCCAACACAGCTGAATCAAATGGTTTGATTACTGCTTCAGCATCCCATCAACTTCATCACCCCCCCCACCACCACCACCACCACCACCACCAGTGGGGTGATTGTTTTGATTTGGAGCTATAGAGATAGAATTGATAGGGATAAATACTACAATGAATGGACTGAATTTACTAAACTGAGCTCAGATTGTAAGAGTGGAAGAGTACCCTACATGCCTCCGTGCACACACAGACACACACCTCCACCTCTGCTATGGCTGGATTCCCCTAAAATACCAACAGAGTAGTACACAGGGTGGCAGGAGATTAGTGAAGTGAAACACAAATATAGTAATCAGTTTCTAATCTTTAGCTTTTGTTGGCAGATGCTATCAGCTGCTGTGTGTCTAGTAATCTTTCCCACAAATCTGTGTGATGTGATTTAAGCTGCTCACTGAGTCACACCTGGATTTCCCTAAAATACGACCAGAGGGATGTAGGCGGAGAAATGTTTTCTATTCTTTATTTTGATCCTCAGACTGCTGCATATTTTCCATGAGGCGCACGCACACACACACACACGCTATGAATGTGGAGATCGTACTCTGAACTTACTGCCATCTTCTAGAAAGAGTTTGATATGAATGAGCTTTCATGTGACACCTTCTGCTGAAAGTAGCCGATAGAAGACGGGAGCACTAGTGATAAATACTGTGTCTACTAAGGAGCCCAAAGTGTCCCAAAATGAAATCTGCATGATACATTTTTTTTAAACTTTTTTTTGGTTCTTAAAACACTTCATGTTCTGCACAATATTAAACTCTGTATTAAAGTGCTGAATGAGTGTGGGGAGAATATCCCAGGATTTGTCTTTCATCACCTGGATGATTTGCCGCCTGTTACATACTCCAGCATGGATGTGTGTTGTCTACTACGGCGAATGGACCAGCTGTGTGCTGAGGTGGGTGCTTTAAAACATGTAGTTAAACTACAGGCGGATGTCTGCGAGCAAGTTATGACCAATGCTGTGGAGGTCGACCAACGTGTGACTGCTCTTGAGTGTCGGTCTGAGGTGCCGGCTGAGCCTGTTACTCTGAATGCTCAGGGGTCAGGGACCGCTTCCCACTTTCCCCTGGGGAAACACGCAGAGGAGCGGTGAGGGAGTCGAAGTAAATGCGGCCCGCGCGGAAGGCAGGGAGCCAGAGCTTTGGTTGCTTCAAGGACTGGGAAAAGCACAGTGTCAGCGTTTTGTCCGGAGATGTTGCTATGTGGTCAAGATCGGGCTCTGATGACAGCCTCAGGTCATAATATGGAAACTACTGCAACAACAGAGGGTCCCGTTGAGACAGTGCTTCTTACATGCTCCCCACAATGGAGTAAAGTTGTGAAAAATGGCAAGTCTCGTCACAAGCTGGAGAAGGTTAATTTGGGTTCAGGAATGCATGCTGCTACCACTGGACACAATAAGAGGCCTGGACCTGTATTGGTTATCGGCACTGGAGCTGTGAGTAGGGGAGACTGGGGATAGTTGTAACATTTTTGACATTTCTGTCTGTAAATTGGAGCTCTTTTAAGGTAGTGGATTCAAAATGTAATGCAAAGTATTTACATGTCTCTGCTATTAAATAGTGCAGCTATTTTCTCTGCAGCACAATTACCCATTGCATGGTATGGTCTCAAACATAAAGAGTGAAATGTCACAATTAACCCCATAGTCTGGGTTAGTTGTAACTGTCACGAAGTACAAGGTGGACTCACGCGCTGGACTCCGGGGATGATGCACACAAGAGAATTTATTAAAGAACAATGTCCAATGAGTGTGTAACCCATGTGAAATACAGGGCTGCAAAATCCCTTTTTGTAATCTAAGGCTATAGCCTGTTATTGTCACAAGGGGGCGCTGTGATGCAGTCTTGTGTTCTGACGACCTTGCGTCTAGTGCGCAGGAAGTATTATCTCTCTCTTCCTGTGAGATCTTCCCTCTGATGGCGGTCAAGTACGTGTCGGAGCGCATGGAAAAAGTATCTTGGTATGCAATACTGCAACCCGGTTAATGAGACCAGATTGTTTTACGTATAAATGCTAATAAGGTACTCTTTTATTAGGCCCCGAACTCTGACCACAAAGGGAATAACGTCTGTCAAGTTATTTGTGTCTGAAAATCCCGGTGAGTCACGTGCTTTCGTTAGCTACCTGTTAAGTTAGATAATGTATTTCACTAGCTGATTCAGCTCAGAAACCTTTGAACAAAAACCAATCGGGAGCTATGAGAATCTGGCGTGTTGTTTTACTTCTCCTGTTGTTTTTTACAGTGTGTTATAAGTGTTGTATGCTTTGAGCTAAACGATGTCGATGCTAGATGCGATGCTAGCTGCTAATAGCTGTTAGCCACCCCACCCCGCTGAAGCCATATTCCGATCGGGGAGGTATTCAAGTAGAAGCAATAGCTCTGTTTATATTAGAATGGTTATGTCTTAATAGATATGAGCATATTTCAAGTTTAATAGTATTTGCACTGAATTAAGTTACATTTTCTTGTAAGCCTTAAGGATGA